TTGTGTTGAATCTATTGATGAATTTGGCGAGTATTGCCGTCCTTACAACATTAGGTCTTCTGACCCAGGAGCATGGATGTTTTCCATTGATTTAGATCTTTTTTCAGTTCTTTCGGCGATGTTTTGTAGTTTTCAGTGTACAGGTCTTGCACTTCCTTGGTTAAATTTATTCCCGAGTATTTTATTCTTTCTGATGTTGTAAATTGAATTGCTTTCTTAATTTCCTTTTTGGATTGTTGGTTGCCGGTGTGTTGAAATACCACTGATTTTTGTGTGTTGATCTTGTACCCTGCAACTTTGCTACATTCATTTCTTAGGTTTAATCGGGGTACGTGTGTGTATGTGTGTTCTTTAGGATCTTCTGCATATAACACCGTGCCATCTGTGAACAGAGATAGTTTTACTTCTTCCTTTCAATTTGGAGGCTTTTTATTTCTTCTTCTTGCCCAATTGCTCTGGCTGGAACTTCCAGTACTATGTTGAGTAGAAGTGGCAAAAGCAGGCGTCCTTGTCTTGTTCCTCATCTTAGGCAGAAGGTTTTCAGTCTTTTACTATTAAGTATGATGTTAGCTGTGTGTGTGTTATAAATGCCCTTCATCATGTTGAGGGACCTCTCTTCTATTCCTAGTTTTGGGTTGATTTTATCATGAAAGGGTGCTGGATTTTGTCAGAGGCTTTTTCTTCATCAACTAAGATGATCATGTGGGTTTTTTTTCCCTTCTCTCCTTTTGTTCCTACTTCCACTGGTGGAAAGTTCTGACCCAGACCAAGCATTGGGGCTCCAAGTGGGGTTGCAGCCAATCTCTTCCCCGAGAGGAGTTCTTAGTTTGGACCTCTGAGGGTAGGGGGTCCATCTGAGGAAATCAGGCAGCTAGAGAATAGAGTCTTGCAGAGCTGAGAGTATGGAGAAGTAGGTCCCAGAGGTGTCACCAGCCCCAGGTGTGTCCTGTTATCTGTGGGGTCCACAAAAGGCTGGCTGGGCATGGAAGCTCTGACACCTGGCCAGGCCCTGGGATGGGGAAGCTTGCAACCTACGCCCTTTGATGGGCTGTGGGCATCAGGCTCGGCTAAACCTCCCGTGTTCACATAGCTCATTCATTCATTCAGCACCATCTGAAGTCAGCTTCCCTAGAGCAGTGGTTCTCAAACTTGTGCAAGCAGCAGAATGCCCTGGAGCGCTTGTCACAACACAGATCCCTGGGCCCCACCCCAGAGTGTCTGATGCAGGAGGTCTGAAGTGGGGCCTGAGCATCTGCATTTCTAACAAGTTCTCAAGTGACGCCACTGCTGCTGGTCCAGGAACCACACTTGGAGAAGCACAGCCTGCAGTGGGGATCCCTGAGGGGCGAGCTGCCCCTCGTAAGGGAGGGGAGGAGGCAGAGAGGGCAGGAGAAGAAGCTGAGTGTGGACATGGGTTCGCCAGAGGTGTGGCCTCAGCCTGACCCCCCAGGGAGCTCTGCAGTGTGCTGTCTCAGGAGCAGGAGGCCAGGCTGCTGTAGCCACTTAAGAGCTGGGCAGTTATGGGCTCTCCTGGGATGGGGCAGGTGGGGTGGCCTCCTTGGGAGAGGGTGCAGGTAGGGTCCGGGGGAGGATCGACAGCCTATGCTACGAGTGCCTACCGTGTGCTAGGTGTCATTTCCAGCATTGTCTGTATAGCAGGGAATGAGCACGAGTGCCTGCCCTCCTGAAGCTGGCGTCCTGCTGGGAGAGGCAGGTAACAACGGCGACAGACCGTCACCCCAGGTGGAGACAAGTGCTATGAGAAAGAGGAAGCCAAGGCAGGGAGGGGGCCCAGGTGGGGTACTTAAGATTGGGCGGTGAGGACAGACCTCTCGGATGGGTCTAAGTCCTGACTCTGGGCCTTGTGGGGAGGAGCCACTGCTTCACAGATGAAAAGACCGGGAGACTGAGGCACAGGGAAGTAAAGGGTCATGCCCAAATTTGCACAGCTGTGGCAGAGCCTGGAGTTGGACCAGTTTGACTCTGAGGAGGACTTCTGAGTCCCACCCCCACCCCACTCCCATCCAGCCCGTCCCTCGATGACCTTGCCTGGGGCCAGGCTCTCAGAGGACCTGACCTGGTGGCAGATCTGGGTGGCCCCACCTCAGCCTGTTGGATGCCCCAGATAAAGTGTCTGTCCCTTATGCTGTAGTACCTCCCTTCTTGCCCATCCTTCCTGGGCTGATAAGGTGTCTGTTGCCTGTGCTGTAGCGTCGCCCTGCCCGCCTCTCCCTGCCGGGCCTCTTCAGAGCTTCCTTAATGGCTGCACTTGGAAGTGCCTCATGGGCTGGATGCTTTGTAGTCATTGGAATTCTGTTTTTCACCCCCTGCCTTTTATCACTAAGTCAGTCTCCAAATGTTACTCGGTGTTGCCCTGTGCCCTCCCTCCCCCACCACATCTACCACTCAGACCACACAGGCCTCAGACCACACAGCCTGCCCCGACGAGGCCCCCCAGTCTCATCTCCCCTCATCTTCTCCTCTCACCCCTGGGCCCAGCCACCAGTCTGCCCCACCCCCTCCGTTTATTTTTTACTGTGGCACTGATGGTTTTTTCTAGAGCAGCGCTGTCCAGCAGAACTTCTTGCAGTGATGGAAATGTTCTAGAAGGGCTCTGTCCAGTCCACTGGCCACTAGCCACATGTGGCTATTGAGCACTTGAAATATGGCTAGTGTGACTGAGGAATAAAATGCTAATTTTTAAAAATGTTAATTAATTTAAAATTATACACAAGTAACCACATGTGGCTGGCAGCTACTGGATTGAACAGCACACATCTAGAGCATCAGTAGGCCTCATCCCTGCCTTGCCCAGAAACCGCCTCTGGGCCAAGGACGAGGCTGCCGTGCCCAGCCCCGTCTTTCAGTGTCAGAAGTCCAGGAGCCTTGGCGGACGTGTGCCTTCTCCTGTGGGAGGTGGTCCCCTTGGCTGAATCCCATGTGTGCTTCTGGTGACTGTATGCCTGCCCTTTGAAAATTCAGTCTCTAGCTTAGAGGTTCCCAACTATGCCCCACGTGACTGCAGCTTGCAGAAGGTGGGCATGTGTTATATAAAAAGCAAAGGGGGCAGGCAGAGGTTCGTGGTCGGGAAGTTTGGGAAACACTGGGCAATGTCAAGTTAAGGAGGCAGAACTTCTCAGAGCCTTTAACGTGCCAGAGTGGGCTGTGAATTTCTAAGAGGTGGACAGCATAAGCAATGTTTCCCAAACTTATTTGACCATAGAGCTTTTTCTTGATAGAGTGCTGTGATAGACAGCTGCTGTGGAACACACTTAGAGAAATGCCGTTCTCATGGTTTTGTGTCTGTATTGGACCCCTCAGGAGGCTGGGATAGGGCTTCATTGTCTTTCAGTCTCTGTCCCCTGCTGGCTTGCCCAGGGAGGGAGGGAGGGAGGCTGTGACTTAATGTGTTCCTTCAGTGGCTCCTCTGTTTACTCATTTATTCACAGAAAACAATGGTTCCATGCCTCCCACATGCCAGGCCTGCTGGGGCAGTGGGATGGGTGTGACGAACAGGCGGTGCTGGCCGCCTTCTCTCTGGCCCGAGTGGCAGTGGCCACTTCTCAGTTCCCTCTCACGGGACCCTCAGCAGCCTTAGCTCCCCTCTGTGCTCACTCCTCTCTGCCTGGCCCCCTGAGCACCTCTGGTCCCCGGTCTCTGCCCCCGCCCCCCCATCCCAGGACAGCCCTCGGCCATCCCAGGGGGCTCCGCTCTGGGCCTTGCCCTTCAGTGTTGGAGTCCTGGGTTCTAACCTTACATCCTGGACCCCTCCGTCCACCTGTCCCCCACATGCTGCCTGTTAAATGCCCGCATCTCACCTCCCCCAGACCCTCATCATCTCCCACTCCTCTCTGCGGCTGCTGCTGCTCTTCTTGTTCCCCTAATTGGTTCCCTGCTACCCCTAGAACAGCTTGGGAAAGCACCGTCTGCTGGCTCCCTGCTGCCCTGACGACGCTGTCTGACCGCCTTCGCTGGCAGGCCGGGCCCCGTGTGATAAGCACGGCCTAGTGCCAGCCACACCCAGCTTCTCCTCCTCCGCCTGCAGTCGTCTTTTTACCTTGACTCCTGCACCTGGGAACTCTTGTTCACCCTGTCTCAGCTTCCATGTCACCACCTCCAGAAAGTATCTGCGCCCCGCCCCCAGCCCTGTTCTTCTCCATCAGGCTCATGGTCACATTGCGTATAAACACCTCCCCACTAGGCTGCTAGCGCCCGACATGACAGGACTAGCCCCCACCTTGGGGCCTCGCACCTAACAGGCACTTAGTGAATATTTGTAAGGTACCCTGGGCCCCTCCGAGGCTCTGCCTGGGGTCTGTGAAGAGCAGGGAGCAGGGGCCTGGGTGCATTCTCAGCCGGGCAGGAGATGGTTCAGGATCTGGGTGGGTGGACGTTTGCCCAGGGGCCGGGGAGGTCACAGGCAAGGCTGTGCCCTGATCTGATCTTGGTGCAAATGCCTTTTGGGTACCCTAGACCCTCCTGCCTCAGTAGCTGGAGATGAAGGCAGGTCGCCCTTGTTGAGGAGCAGTCTGATTCCCGTGCTGTGCCGGGGGAACAGGAGCCCTGGGCTTCCAGCCCTGGCTCCGCCAGTGACTCGCTGTGTGACCTTGGAAAGAAAGAGCCTCCCTGCTTGAGGCCTCCGTGTCCCCTTCTGTGCAGTGTGGCCGGGCCAGTTCTGGCTCTGCAGGCTGACTTGCAGTTCTTTGCAGCACTTGTTCTGGGCACAGGGGGGCAGCCGAGGGCTTTGGAGCGCTGAGGAATCTGGGCAGACGTAGTTTTGAAAAAAACACTCTGTGTCAACTGGTCTTTACTGAGCCCAGAGCTTCGTGGGGGCTGGATGGGTTGGGGGCTCTCATTTCTTACTGGAGGAGCTGCGCTTGACCGGGAGTTCAGCCAGGGCACCTTGAAACCAGCGTCAGAGAGAATCTGATTTCCCAGCTGCTGCCTCTGAGCTCTGGGCACAGCAGTGGGAGGCCAGTGGCCTGTGTCTGTTTCCACAGTGGTCCTTTGCTGTTGCAACCATCACAGAAATCCCGCCTGTCATCTTCCTCCCCAACTTCCTTGTGCAGAGGAAGGTGCTGAAGCCCCTTCGGACCCAGACAGGAGGAACCATCATGGTAGGTGGGGAGGCAGGCTGGAGGAGCGGCTGTGCTGGGGACCCCCACACCCAGGCCCCTTCCCACCTCTGGCATTTGCCCACCCTGGGCTCTCCATCTGGAATGCCCTCCTCTCACTTAGAAAATCCTAAATATTCTTCAAGGCCCAGTCACAATGACCCCTTTCATCCAAAGCCTTTCCCATCCCCATCCTGGGACATTAGAATTCATTGTTCCTCCCCCAAGATCTCCTATTAGAGTTACCGTATTGGCTGGTATATAAGATATACCCCCATTCCCCAAAGGGTATACCCTAGAACTCTGGCTGTGGTGCATTCAACTTTAAGATGGAAAACCAAATCCCCATGAGTTCAGTGATGGATGATGTTCCCCTCACCCCCATCACGGGTGTGGCGATAAAAACACGCACAGCAAAATTACATTTCGCGTACTGCGGGTAGCTGTCTTTAAAAGTAGCCAGGCTGCCGAGTTGATGGAAGGTGGAGGAACATTTCTGATTTAAACATGCAGTGATCTAAACCAGACCTGGATCAATGCCTGTTGATCCCTGTCATTTTCTTTTGAGCTTTGCAAATTTGTTTTTTTTTTTTTTTTAGTTTATTAGAATATTACTGTTCACCCCAAAACTACGATTTCCTACAAGATTTCAGTATCCAGTCTGCCATATTTGCATGAGTAAGAAATTGTCTATTTTCCCTTTGGAAGCCACGTTAAAATCATTGTCAGTTCACATGTGCTCATAGGTACTTGGCTTTTATTTCTTCCAGTTTCCTCACAAAATTGCCGAGGGGCTTAGGCACTGTACATCTCATATGCCAGCCAATCTGTACTTGCTTCCGGGACTGAGGCTGAGTTTGCCGGGCGGTTGGTGCCTCCTGGACCCACACCCGGTAGCTTGTTCCCACCTCAGAGCTGGCTGGAGACAGCGTTTATGGAATGAATGAATCAGTGAGTGAGTGAGTGAAGGAATCGGTTGCCTGTGCCCTCACCCTGTGCTTGTCTCCAAAGGCAGGGAAGCTGGCCGTGGAGCGAGGCTGGGCCATCAATGTGGGTGAGTGCCTGGCCAGCCTGGCCTGGTGGAGCTGGCCTGACGGTCCTGGGGGCAGGGAGGGGCAGGACCTTGGAGGTGGCAGCTGTCAGTCAGAGGCTGTGGTGCCTCTACAGCTACCCTGAGCCTCCTTAATGAGTGGTCTGGAGGCTGGTGAGCAGCTGCCTGGTGCCTGGGAGGGACCAACCAGTGCCTCCATCTGGTGTGGGATCCTTTTCTAAAAGAGTTCCCCAGGTGGCTCCCCAGACGTGCCTTTGCATACTTCCAGTGACGGGGAGCTCACTCCCTCACAGAAAGCCTGTGCAATCTCCTGGGCATCTCTGCATGGGGCTGAAACCTAGAGAGTTTCAGAGGCTCCCCCAAAGACTCCATCAGCTCTGTGGGGCCCAGGACAGCCTGCAGGGGCTTGGTCATGTCATAGTGGGTGGACAGATGCAGGGTCAATACCACCTCCTTCTCAGGGGTCCTGAAGGCCAGCACTTCCCAGTCCCCTGGACTCGCCCATGAGATTGGCTCATGGGAAGGCTGCACACATCAGTCTTCCTTATCCCCATCATTGTCCCTCATGGAGGCTCAGCACTTCACAGTTTGCAAAGCCCTGTCCCATCTGGCCTCTCATTTGAGCTGGGCATAGTTGTTGTCAGTCCTGTTATATCAATGAGGAAGTGGATGTTGAGAGAGGCCTAGTAGTTTGCTCAGAGCCCCATAGCAGGGACCCCCCCCCACCCCACCTCCCGCCTTAGCTGTGAGCTCTGCAAAGCCAGGGGCTGGGTCCCTTCCATCTCGATGTCACCAGGTGTCCGGCGTTAGGTCGGGCATAACTGTGATGTTATGATACCCTGCTGAACAAATGAGTGAATGATGCATGCCCTGCGTGTCTGCAGCAGGGCTCTCACAAGGACTTCTCCCATGGGAGGTGTTATGGCCTGGCAGAAGTTAAGAGTCCATGTCCTGATCCAGCCTGGGTTTGAATCTTGATTCTGCCATTAGCTTGCTTTGTGACCCTGGGCAAGTTCCTGACCCTTTCTGTACCTCAGTCTCCTCATCTGTAAAATGGAGAGGATGATAATAGCGCCTCTTCCTAGGGCTGTAGGGAGGCTTCAGTGAGCTCAGTGCCCTGTTAGGAGTTCACTGTTGCTTGTTATTTCATCATTATGATCCAGTGATGGCCTCCTGGGTGGTGGAAGAGGCAAGTCTCTTGTATCCATGGGCCCCAGTTTCACACTGCAGGTGGGATGGTTGTTCGGCTCAATTTCAGAGGCCCCTGCAACTCAGGTTCTCGCAGGCATTGCAGGGAAAAGGGTCTCTATGGGCCTGGGGCTCTGAGGCTGTGGCTTCGGGGTTGGGGGATGGAGGGGGCTGGAGTGATGGCTGCCACGACCAGCACAGAGTGCCCTTCCTGCCCACCCCTTCCTAGCATGGGGAGTCACGTGGCGGTAGGCCCAGCTCTGTTGGGGCCAAGGCGCAGCTTTCTGGCTTGGGAAGGAGGAGCTCCAGTTCCCTGGGGGATGTGACGGGAACGGGGCTGACTTGTCAGGACATCCTGAGAGGTTTCTTGCTCTGGGCAAGGGTGGCCATGAGGGCACAGCTGCGTGCTGCCCCAGGGCTGGTGACATGCCCAGGCTCTCAGGTCACTGTGCTAGCCTGGAGTCCAGGAGCTGTCCTGGGAGCTGAGCAGGGAGGGGATGCTGGGAAGACGGAGGGTAGGGTAGTGCCTGGCCCTGACCACACCATGTCTGCCCTTCCACAGGCGGCGGCTTCCATCACTGCTCCAGCGACCGGGGTGGGGGCTTCTGCGCCTATGCAGACATCACGCTCGCCATCAAGGTGCGCCCCACAGCACGTGGGGGCGGGCCTCCAGGAGCCCTTCCCAGAATCCCCCCGCCACCCCCAATTTGATGTTCTCACCCCACATTATAGAGAGGGGAACTGAGGCTCAGAAGAGGCGGGGCTCGTCGGGGTCCCTCAGCCAGGCTGGGACTCAAACCCAGATCTCCCAATTTCTCTCCTGTGTTGCTTGTGACGGGAGGGACCGTACAGCCTTCCCCAGAGGCAGGGGCTGGAGCCGAGCAGCAGATACAGCAATAGGACAGGAAGGGCATTGCTCCGAAAGAGTGAGGAAGAGCTGGAAACACTAACAATGACCCCAGTCAGGATGACGGTGATGACAGCAGCCGGCATTCACTGCAGGCTCGCGCCTGTGCCAACCTCCGTTCTCCATGGCTCACCCCATTGATTCCTCACGTTACAGACCAGAAAACTGAGGCCCAGAGAGGCCCCCAGAACCCCCTGACCACTCTGTGCCTGGCCTCATGCTGGGCGTCGGGACTGGGCCGCCGTGGTCCCTATTCTCACAGGGCAGAGAGACTAATGGTGGAGGGGGGCAGGTCAGCAGACCCTGGCCATTTGGAGAGGGGGCTGCACAGGAGACCTTCCTGGAGCGGGGGAGGGGAAGGAGGGCTTCCCAGGGGTTGGCTTTGTAGGATGAGGCAAAGATTTGAGGGGAGGGTCTCCCTCTCAACCCTCACACATTTTCCTGAGAATCCTGTACTATTACTGAGGGCCAACCCCACAGTCCCCCTTACCTCCTGACCTTTGGCCCTTCAGGGCGCAGCACACGCCCGCTCCTCCAGGGAGCCTTCCCTGACCACACACACATGCTCCTCTCGAGCTGCACAGCTCTCCTGGGCATGTGATGTCTTTGCCTGGTGGCCTGATCGCCCACAAGCATGTATGGCTTCCCGCCCCACCCCCTCACCAGCTTGGAGTCCCCGAGGGGCTGCGTCCTCTGGACTGCCTGGGTCCTCACCTCCCCTTTCCTCCCCTGGGCAGTTTCTGTTTGAGCGAATGGAGGGCATCTCCAGAGCCACCATCGTTGATCTCGATGCCCATCAGGTGAGTGCCCTGTGGGGATGGGGCTCTCGTGGGACCGCGGCCGCAAGCCCCCTCCCCGTGCTCCCCAACAGCCTCTGTCTGTCACGCAACTCCAAAGTGTGGGGCTCCCCTCCCCCTAGGAGCATCCCTGAGCCCCAACCCTAGTCTCCCTCCCTGCTGCCCATCCTATGTCTCAGGCTGGAAGCTGAGGGTCCGTCTTTGGCCCTCCACCCCTCTCAGCCCAGCCAGGGTGGCACGTCCTTCTCGTTGCTCCTGTTGAATCCGAGTCCTCCCTCCCTCCTCCTGACTGCCCCCACACAGCAGGCTGATGGCTCTTCCTAAAACTCAGTCTGACAGTGCCACTCTCATGCTCTAAACCCTGCTATGGCTCCGCCGTGCTTCCTCGTCAGTTTGCACAGAGCTGATGATCACTGTGGACTTGCCCCTCAGGCAGACGCTCAGTCACAGGATTTCAGGGTTGCTCAGCTCTGAGGCCACTGCTGAGGACCTTACTGCCCGGGGGTAATGCAGCAGAGTCAGGCCTCCTTCTCAGGACTCCAAACCCAGGGCTGGCTCTCTGGTCAGAGACAGGGCAGGTCATTGGGTGGGCTCTTGAGGGCTCGTCCTGCGTCTCTGCCCTTGTAGCTGTGTGCTGGTTGGACCCTGTTCTGCGTTCACGTGACACTGAGCTCCTGAGCCAAGTCCCGTGTGCACAACCTTTTGCAGTTTACGTTTCACATCCCTGATCCTAGCCGACCCCACCACAGACTTGAGATGGTGGTGCAGCCAGGATTCCTGCCTTGTTCCCAGGAGGAGAAACTGAGAGGACCAGGCCTTGCTCAAGGTCACGCTAGAGGGTCATGGGGCCAGGTTTTGAGGTTGAATTCCCGCTCTGCCACTTAACAGCCATGAGACCCTCTGTCCCCCAGGGGCAAGCCATGCTGCTCAGGAACTGGGGCATTTCCTGGGCTGTGTTTGGGGGCGGTCCTGGCCTTGCCGAGGCACCGGCGCATGAGCGGCTTTCATGTCTTCCCCACAGGGCAACGGGCATGAACGGGACTTCATGGATGACAAGCGTGTGTACATCATGGACGTCTACAACCGCCACATCTACCCCGGGGACCGCTTTGCCAAGCGTAAGCTGCCCCGGCCCCATGGTCTTAACTGCATTCTTGAGTGGATGGGGCTCGCTCCTGAGTGTTTCCTGCACACTGGGCCCTGCAGGCATCACTTCATTCATCCCTGCATAGTGGGGATCATTCCCATTGTACAGATGAGGAAATAGACCTAAAGAAATCACTTGAGGGCTGGCCCCATGGCTTGGCGGTTAAGTGCGCGCGCTCCACTGCTGGCGGCCTGGGTTCAGATCCCGGGCGCGCACTGACGCACCGCTTCTCCAGCCATGCTGAGGCCGCGTCCCACATACAGCAACTAGAAGGAAGTGCAGCTATGACATACAACTATCTACTGGGGCTTTGGGGGAAAAAAAAAAAAAATAAAATTATAAAAAAAAAAGGTCACTTGACCCACCCAAGATCACATAAACTTGCCCAGTAAATTCCTGTATGGATCCTTACATTAGAGGTAACCACCAGAAGAATAGAAATAGAATCTTCTTCTAGATATGCATTTGTCTGGTAGAGGACAGGAAATGACAAAAAAGAAACAAGGGGAGAGTATGATAAATAGAAAATATAAAATAAGATAGCAGAATTCAGTTCAAATATAATAGTTGTTGAAATAAGTGCAAGTGGGTTAAACTTATCAATCAAAAGGCAGAGACTCTCAGAGGAGCTTTGAAAACAGGAACCCGCCCACTTTGTGGATTGGCGACCTTGACGCAGGAAGTGCTAGTGAGTCGGCTGTGGGTAACTCAGCCACTGGCGTGGCCCAGGGGACTAGTTTCTGAACTAAATCTCGAATGTGCTGGATTTGGGCCTGAGGGCCTGGTGAGGTGTCCACGTGTCTGGGCAAGGGCTCATGGAGGCAGTGAGATCAGACCTGTCGACGGGGTCTCTGAATCCCCAGGGCCAGGTGTTTCGTCTGCACTCCCCCTTGTCTCCTTTGGGTCCCCGCTTTGCAGCTCTTTTGCTCTTTTTAGCTTAGTTTTGGGTGAAATGGGAAGCTGAGCACACAGAGCAGTTTCCATTCCTGCCTCAGGCACTGACAGGGACCTGGGTGATCTTTGCCCTCCTGAGCCTCAGTTTCCCTTCTCTGCACATTGGGGCTGTTCCCTTCTCCCTCTCAGAGGCTATCAGGCGGAAGGTGGAGCTGGAGTGGGGCACAGAGGATGATGAGTACCTGGATAAAGTGGAGAGGAGCCTCAAGAAAGCCCTCCAGGAGCACCCCCCCGATGTGGTGGTGTACAACGCAGGCACCGACGTCCTTGAGGGTGACCGCCTTGGGGGGCTCTCCATCAGCCCACAGGTATGTCCTGACCCTGGGGGGTGGGGCAGGGTCTGTTGTGGGGACTGAGCAGCAGCTGGAAAGGTGGCCGACACTGGTGCCTTTCCTGCTGTCAGAGAGGAAATGGGTAGAGGCAGCAGCAGTGTGGAGCAGGGCTAGACCTGCAGCAGGACTTCCTGATACCATGAGGATCCAGGCCTGCCTGAGCCAGCCTTCTCCATCCCCTCACAGGGCATCGTGAAGCGGGATGAACTGGTGTTCCGGATGGTCCGAGGCCGCCAGGTGCCCATCCTCATGGTGACCTCTGGCGGGTACCAGAAGCGCACGGCCCGCATCATTGCTGACTCTATCCTTAATTTGTATGGCTTGGGGCTCATCGGTCCAGAGCCACCCAGCATCTCAGCACAGAACTCAGACACCCCTCTGCTGCCCCCTGAGGTGCCCTGACCGCGCTACCCTTCTGAGCGACTCCCTGCCTGCCTGCTGCCCCACCCGGCCCTCAGTGCTTCTCCTTTCTAACGTTGTGAGGCGGTGGGGGCAGTCCCCAGGGGCACTGAGGACCGCTCCTCCGCTCTCCCGACTGGGTGTCGCAGGGTCTCCAGGCTATCTGGGCAGGGGCAGAAGGCAGAGCCCGAGACCCAGGAAGACCCCATACGGGGTCGTGGGTCTGACCAGGCCTTGTGGAGGCAGGCAGTTCGCTGAGGAGGAGGAGGGCAGGTGAGGCTCCCAGGGCTGCAGTGAGGGCCCCCAGGGGTTGGGGTGTTCTGGTTTTCAAAAAAGCCGGACTCATTTCAGACTGAGGAAGTTTCCATCTGTACTGTAGTTGGGCCTCTCTCCCTCCTCTTCAGTTGTGTGATTTGTTCCCCCCTCTCCCCCTTGCCTCAGACAGGGCAGGAGGAGCTATGGGTGCCCATTTGCGTGGGCCTGAGAGCTGGGTGCTGGAGCCAGGCTTCTGGGGGGCCCTGGATGTGAAGGGTGGCAGGGAAGGGGGTGCAGGTGGGTTTTCCTGTCTGGTGTTCCCCTTCAATAAAGCAAGGGCTGGACCCGCCTTCCTAGAGTCCCTCAGTGGTGATGAGGGGAGGGGAGGCCTGAGGAGCCCAGGGCCCTGCTTCAGCAGTGGTCTCAGCTGTTCAGGGAGAGGGGGCCAGGTTTGGGGGAAGAACGCTTGGCTCAGGGATGGGCCTCAGCAGACTCGAGGGGGCTGCTGACCCCGGTGGGGAGGGGGCCGAGGAAGGTGAGGCCCAGATGGGGAAATCGGGGATGGGGCAGGTGGCCAAGCCAGGTCCTGCAGGAACTGAGGCCCCAGGTAGGGACTAAGGTTCCAGGAGGCCAGGCTGGAGTTCCTGTAGAGAGGGCAGGGGTCTCCATCCTGGCCCGCAGGTTGTGAGAAGAGGAGTCTGGGGCAGGGCCCAGGTGGGGCTGTAGCCTCTACTGGCTTCACCCAAAGCGCCCAGGCCCTGGTAGCACGCCGTGTCCGGGTCCACGTGGGCCCTGACCTTGTCCTTAGCTCTACTCTGAAGGGGATGCTCAGGGTCCCCGGGAAGCCGGGTGGGGGGAGCATCCACCCTCCATTGCCTGGGTGTGATCTTAGACAGTGCCAAAGGCGAGGGTGGGGAGGGAAAGTAGGCCAGCTAGGGCGTCCCCATCCCTGGTCAGCCCCACCTATGGGACTCGTGTTCAGTACTGTCTGGGGGTGCTCCTGCTTCCTCCCACGTCTCCTCACTCTCCCTCACCACTCCATCTGCTGAGGGGTGGGGAAGGGTGCCAAGACCACAAACTCAAAACTGCTGACCTCCTGGACAGACCCGAGGCGCTAACCACAAGCTCAGACCCCCTCACCCGCTGCCCTTGCCGTTGGTCTCTCCGTATCTGACTTGAGGTACCTAACGTCCCTTCATCTCCAGCGCGGGCTGTGACGTCTGGGGCGGGCAGTGGATGGAGCTCATCACAGGGAGCTTCTGTTCGTAGAGAACAATAAAGTCTCTTGATCAGAACTGGCTGCTGTGTGTTCTTGAGATGAAGAATCCCCACCCCCTAACGATTAAAGGAAATAAGGATTTAAAATTCTCATACTATGAGGCCTGATACGGGGTAGCTGCCCAATAAATGCTAGTATTTTATTCCGTCTTCAGAGTCTATGAAGCAGGTCATTATTGCCATTTTAGAGACGAGGCAGCTGAGACTCAGGAAGGCGTTTGCTCCAGGCCGCACGTCTAGTGAGTGGTAGAGCCAGGTTTGGACCCAGCTCTGCCGGATTCCCGAGTATGTATTCTCAGCTGCCTCCAATTTGGCAGGGGGGAAGAAGTGGGGGGTGGGGTGTTGCTCTCCAGGCAGAGGAGGGTCCAGGGTCAGGGAAAGGGTGGGAATGAGAGGGCAGGCAGGGTTGGACTGTGATGGTGGCTCTGCACAGTGTGGGAGGCAGCTGGGGGGCCTTGGCAGGGCAGCGGGGGGAGGGGGCGTCTCCCAGCTCTGGGCTGTGGGTGGAGCACACATGGGGATGGGCTGCCTCGAGGTGGGGCAGATGGGGAGGCAGAACCTTGTCCTCAGCCTGACAGTGACCAGGACATCCCCAGGGTTAGTGGCAGAGCCTGGGTGGGGAGCAGGGCGCCCCCTTGAGGGTCAGTGCCAGGGACGAGGACATCAGACTAAGACATCATGGGGTGGCGAGCAGGGGTCCAGCTCAGCCCTGTGCTAGGTGTGAGGAAGAGGATGAAGGCTGATAAATACCAGGCCTGTTCCAGTTGCTCGGCGGGAATTACCTCTTGAACCCCACAGCATTCTGAGCTAAGAACTCTTTTCATCTCTATTCTACAGATGCAGAAACTGAGGCATAAAGGGGCTAGTTACTTGCTCAAAGCCCACAGCTAGTAAGTGGAGGAGTGAGGACTTGAACTGAGGCCTCGGCTCCGGCATCCACAGCTGCTTCCTCATGGGTGAGACGGGGCCTTTCAGGGTACTTACCTACAGGGCGCTTCTAGGAATATACGCCTTCCTGTGTGAGACGCACTTAGGATGCGCCTTGGCGTCTGGTGGGTGCCCAGTCAACATTAGTGATGCTGCTGCTGACTCCCCTGTAGGGCAGGGAGGAGAATCAAGGCCAGGTGAGGCCGTGTGCAGATCTGTTCTTAAGATCTGTATGTTTTGCTATATGCAAGTTACACCCCAAGTTATAAAGATCCAGAGGGAACATGCCAGCTCCGTGAAGTGGCTGAGGGGCTGGCTCGACCTGGTGGGCGCTGCTGCCCCTGGTGAGAGCGGGGCCAGGCGGGGGGAGGTCTGGGGCCAGACGGGAGCCAGGGGGAACTTGGAGGCAGGTAAGCTCGGAAGCACCACCCCGTGGAGCCCCCCATGGGCCAGCCCCAGTGCTGGGGAGAGCTCCTGAGTTGTGGAGCAGGAGCAGGGATCTGCCTGGGAGGCGGAGCACCTCCTATGCTGGGAGCCCAGCTGCCATGGGGGGATCCCTGCTCTGCCGGGGCCTGAGTGTGGGACGTAGGCACGTGATGGCCTCTCAGAGCCTCCTTCCTCAGCCATCTTGGTGGGTCTGGCACGGGGTAGGTGCTGTGTGAACACAGCCATCCCCCTCTCTTCCCGTGGACCCTAGCGCCCTGCCTGGCCGGCGGGCTGGCTGAGGCCTGGGGAAAAGTGGTTTCCTGTCCCAGAGTCCTAGCTCTGCTCCCACAGGGGGCGGTTGAGGGCCTCTCAGGCGGGCACTGGGAACAGCAGCGCCCAGCTGTAACCCGGCCCCCTGGACCACGCCTGAGGCTGGCTAAGAGGCCTGGTGGGGGGCAGAGGCAGGAATGGAGGTGCCCAGCCTGCCGCCTGCGGCGTAAACAAAGGCGGGAAGGCGCAGTCACGGCCCCCCAGCCCAGCGGACTCCTGGGCTGAAGGAGACTTGCATGAGGCCTCCCTGGCTGCTCAGCCAAATGCTTGGGGTTTGGGCCAGGAACTCCTCCAGGGCAGCTTGCCCTTGAGTTGGTTTCATTTAGCTCAGCCAACACTGGCTGGGGACACCCTGCTCCAGGCCTGGGACCAATGTGGGGGCTCAGTCCCACCCTGGGAGCAACACTGTCCCGTGATGGCGAGGCTGCAGGGCTCAGTGGTCACGCCTGGGCTCCCATCCCTCACCAGCCCGGCTTTGAGTCCCACCTCCTCCACCTGCTAGCTGGGTGACTTTGCCTCTCTGTGCCTCAGTTTACTTACCTGTAAAATGGGGATGGGAGCACCTACCTCATAGGATTGTCATGAGAATTAAATTCATAAAGTGCTTAAAGTGGTGTCCAGCACAGAGTAAGCACTCAATTCAAGTTACCTGTCCTTGTCATCGCCGTTTTACACATGAGTAGACAGAGACTCGGAAGGGAAGTGACTTGCCCAGGATCACACAGTCAGGCAATGGAAGAGCCAGGGAATGGACCCAAGTCCATGTCACTCCAAAATGCATTCCTTTTCCCCACAACCAGGCCCTCTGGCAAAGGTTTGGCATGAGAGTGTCATGGTGAGCGTTGTGCCCTGCACCCCACCTGGACCTCTCAGACCCTCCCCAACTCCCACCCATACCAGCAATCCTGAGAGAGGCAGGTGTCAGCACCCCAATGTCCAGATGAGATGGGGGACCCGGAGGGGAGAGGCGGCCATCGTCGGTCCCTCAGCGGTGGTGGCGGGGCCAGGCGGGCAGATGTATGGCAGTTGTAAGCAGGTACGTGGCTGTGTGCTCGTGCTGGGGCCTGCAGAGATGGGCGGCTTCCACGTCCTGCCCTTGAAACACTCTTCAGCTAGAGGACGCATGTTGGTCTTTCTGAAGGGCCATCCAGCTTGCAGCTTGAATTTTCCAAGTAAAAGTGAAGTTAAAAAGAATAAAACAGAGCAGGCAGCTGAGAAGTGCTTTAGGGGTTAGCAAGTGCACAGTCGGAGCTGAGGGCCCCAGGGACCACCCATTCCACCTGCTTGTCGCACATGGCACACAGAGGCCCGGCCTCGAGTCACTGCAGCTGGATGGGGCCTGCTGGGGTGGAGGAGAGGGACGGCTGTTCTCCACGCAGGGCCCGCTCAGACCCTGCCTCGGTGCTGGCAGTCACCACCGGCAATTTGTTGATGGGGAAGTGAGGCCCAGGGAGGGCTGTGAAGGAGCCTGACACCCCTGGCAAGCAAGCTAGAACCAGAGCCCAGCCTTCTGGCTTCCTCCCCTCGCAGACTCCTTACTGGGAAAGGGGTGGCGAGCATGTGTTGACATGGCATCATGAGAGGGCCTCGAGGAGCCCTCTCTGCTCCAAGCCCCGCCACTCTCGGTGCTCCCACTCTTTGTTCATCCTCATGACAGCCCCCCAGGCAGGGACCTGGAGCTCTGTTTCAGAGACTGGGAAACCAAGGCCCAGAGAGGCCCACAGGCACTCGCCCAAGGCAGAGCTGTTGTCTTCACCACCACCCGGACGTTTTCCTCCGTCTTCTTTGCCGCTATTACTGTTAAGGCCCGGTTGACAGGGCATGTAGGGGCCATGAGCTCTGCTGGGGTGTCTCTGGGGGAAGGCCGCAGGCTTTGGAGTTTGCCAGCCTGGGTTCAAATCCAGCCTCTGCCACTGGCCTGCGCAGTGACCCTGGGCAGGTGGCCTCCCCTCTTTGAGGCTCACTTCTTCCTCTACAGAGGATTGTGCGAGATAACAGAAGTGGGGCTGGCATACGATGGGTGCATAGTATATGCAGGACTGGCCATGTTCCCCTCCACTGTTCCTGTCCTCAACACCTCTTCCAGCTGGAAACAGGGCAGAGTCATTTCTCAGTCTCCAGTGTGGGACATCTGGTCGGC